GTTAACTGCTGTTTTTGGCCGCAGTTCGCCTTGCGAATGTTTCACAAGAATGCTGGGTTGTGAACAAAACTTTCGCCCCAGGCGGGACTAGAACCCGCACCTCTCGCTTCGAAGTGTTTTCACAATCACGGGCGCATTGATCTAAAGAGAACGCAGTTAGGGCCTCGGGAGGGTCACGGTCATACATGCGTGGGAACTTTCAAAAGAAGGAGCGAATTTCTTCCTGGGCAGTTGGAGAGGACAGCTTTTATTTCCACGGTAACTCAGTCATTAAATATGTATATGGGATCGGGATTTTCTTGACAAGAAATATTTTGCTTTTTTTCAGCTGAAAGAACACCGACTGTTTAAACTGCTGTATACCAAGTAGCATTTAGCACCAAATTATTGGATGGCAGTATCTTAGTTATAAATTCAAATTCACGGGTTGAACAAAAATCCGAAACCTGAATGAATGTCTTTCTTTTGTTTTGAGTTTTTCAGAATTCTCTCACGTGAGCACGCAAAATGTGATTATCGTAACTGAGGTGGTTTCCATGTCAATACACAAACAGGATCTGGTCGAGTATTTGACAGGATATGTTGCTTTTCTCCCTTTAGTCGTTATCCAAGCTACGAGATCAGCGACGAGATCTGACTACAACACGTAGTGCCCTTACAGAGGCTTAAGCCTTCAAAATTTCACCTCATAATGGATATGGGGCCACGAATCTTCGTCATACACTGATCGCTTGCTCTATTTATATAAGAGAACTCTGATCAACACGCAACAATGTAGTCCACTGGCTCTACAGATGTTATTACTACCAGTAGCTCAACGAGTTGGAAGTTTTTCTTGCTCAAGTAGTTCGTACTTATGGAACTTACCGATAACCCCATTTGTGCGCTGTAACGAGGCCATCATTTGCTTCCACAGGTCGCATTTATCAATGGGTTGCTGTTTTGATGGAGTTGTCTGCACGTCGTACTTGAACAGAAGACCATCTGGCCAAGAGCTGTAATCAAGCAGTTTTTGAGAAGGCCATGAGTACCGTAATTT